ACCAATCTCTGACTTGGTATCAATACAATAGTAGAAAGGCAAACTAAACTGTAAAGATGCTGGAATTTAACAACTCAACAAAAGGACATGACATTTGCTCTATTAGAAACAGATCAAGCTGTGCTTTTTTTCCCTGTGAAATGCCAGAGAAAATATGAAATGAACTTCAGAAATGGATAACCAGGGGGTTTCTCTTGTATGTGACTCCTGTTTAAGGAATCAATATTTACACCTAGGGGAGGGTAAAGAAAACACTGCCCAATAATGCACACTTGGCATTTGTGGTTCTGGACCTTAGTTGCTCAGAAGAATCTTCCAGGAGTCTGAAAGGGAGCTGATACTGCCCCCCTCCCCAGAGGTGGACTTAGCACCAGCTGTTGTTGTGGTTGGGGCTGAGAACTGGCACCCGAGGTGCTCTTTAAAGGGGAAATCTAGTATGTTGGGCTGTCGCAGAGGCAGAGAGTGACCAGGGAAAATGCACAAAGTTGAAAGTGGAGAAAAGTAAATTAGCCTAAGTTTTCTGGACCAAAGTTTTCTTGGCAGGAAAATGATGTCATTTAACTGTAAGATTCCCATGATTTCTCCAACTCTGGCATTCTCTAATTCTAGGCTTGGAATTCTTAAACACTAGTAAAACAAACAAACAAACAAACAAACAAACAAACAAACAAACAAAAACCATAAGAGCCAGAAGTGTGGCGGTACATGAAATGCAGACCTTTGGGAGGCTAAGGTAGGAGAGTAGAGAGTTCAAGGTTAGCCTGAGTTACATATTGAGACTTTGTCTCAAAGAACAAACAAAAGCAACCAAACACCCCTCCAAACAAAACAAAACAAACTCTCAGATGCCTTGACTTTAGCTTCAGACATTTTAATATAGTTGATCTATATTAAAGGGAAAGGTGCATCTCTAGTTTTCAAAAGCTCCCCTAGGTGAGAACAACGTGCAGAAGAACTGAGCATCACCTGTCTTCAGTAGTGCCCGTGAATGTGTTTGTGGTGGAATGCCTAGCTGAGAGTGGCGGGAATTCACACTTTGTCTTGGATTAGTGCAGAAACATGGAAGCAATGCAAACACATATGTCCATGTTGTCATAATTAGTCCCTGCTGGTTGCTCTGTGCGTACAATCACGGAGCCCTGCCAAGTGTCTGGGACTCCAGCCCATTTCATTCCCTGTTGGGTTTATAGAAACACAAACAACAGGTAAGAGTGCCTAGAACAGTAAGAACACTGTGGAGAAATTAATCTCAGTTACATTACTCCTTGCACTTTTCATGTATGACATCACTTAATTCTCACAAGACTGGGACTGTTTTTTTCTATTCCGGGGACAGAAAAGCTGAGACCTGGGAGAATTTAAGTGACTTGTTCAGGGAGACACAACTAGGAAATGGCAGCTACGATATAACAACCCAAATGTTCTGATCTTCATTCCTTCTTCCTTTGTTTGTACACTTGCAGCATTCACAGTAACTACCTAGGTGACCAGGTATGGATTGAGGGATCAAGACGATCTACATCCTCTCTGGAGATTAGGAATGAAGAGAATGGGGCTATCAGTGCAAATTTTTCCTTTAAACCCCATGAAGTGTCAGATCTGAGAATGAAGGCTGTTCACACTAGCAAGAAGAGGGCACAGGCCAGGTATGAAACCAAGGACCAAGAGTGGATTCCAGGACTGGAGACACAACTCAGTTGGTAGAGCACAAGCCTGGCATGCATGTGGGTCTGGGTTCAATACCCAGGATGGAAATATAAGAGTGGATCCAAATAGGTCAGCTCTAGCCTGGGCTGTCACTTCTGTTCTGAGCAACATAATCTCATTGCTCTGGACCTTTTTCTTAAGTCAGTGATATTGTCATTGAAAGCATAACCTTCAATGTAGCTAGATAGAAAGAGCAAAAGGTGAAGAGATCCAAGACTATAGAGCACAAAGGTGCTCTGAGCCACAGATTCTAAAATCTTGAAGCTTTTAGATTCTTAAGAGATGGCGCCACCAGTAGTCACAGCAGTAGATTAGAAAAGTGCTTCAGAATTATCTGGAAGACTTATTTACACAAAGCACTAAGCTCTACCCTAGGTACCTAATTAGAAGTCAGTGGTGGCAGAGAGTTTACATTTTGACAAGTTCCCAGGTGATGCTGATCTTGCTGGTCTGGGGACAACACTCAGGGAACCCCAAGATTACAATAACTATTCACAAGTGTCTCCAAGACACCAATTCCTGAGGCAACTAGAAATCCTCTTCACCTTGCCTCTTCTGTCCAATTTAAAGAATTCCTTCAGCAGAAAATAACACCATCAAGGCATAGCCCAATTCTTTGTTCTAGTAGCTCAGGCACTTCTGAAAGAGGTGGGCTCTGACATTCTTAAATATCCATGTGAGGGAATCTAAGTTCAGAATGATCCACATAGAATGAAAGCAAAGGAAAATCCAGGGAGCCAGATATAATAGCGTTTCAGGGGAGCAATATAGGTTTAGAAAAATATGAAAAAAAACAAAATTGGGTTTTTAATAGTTACCATGCAGCACATGAGTGCACTGTTTGTGCCAAAATAACTTGGTTTCATTTACGATACATTTGCCCTTTAGGACCTAGATGGAGTTTTAAGGAGAAATTTCCAAAAGTGAATACTAAAAGCTAGGCACGTATAGTGTGCCTTACTCCCAAATGCTTATCTTGCTCACCACTTAGGTCTTGCTCAGATCCCAAATGAAATCACCAATTTGCAGGAGACACATTAAACAGTCAGCATTTCCAATCCCTGAATCAAAGCAGTTAGCCTATTGAACCTTGCTCCCAACAACCGCTGTAGAGCTACAAAACAATTCTGAGGTTTTCTTAAGAATAATACTTAGAGCTTCCTTAAGAAAGATTTCAAGACTTCAAATTAACATGTAATGATTAGGTCCAACCTTTTCTATGAAACACTTGAAAATTAAGACTGAAGAGAACCATAAAGGTCTGTTTTACCCCTTCCTTCAACAGCTCTCTCCACCCTCTTCTACTTCAAAGCCAAAGAGCAGGAGGCAAGAGAGTCAGGAACAAGTTGTTCGTTACACTTGTATATGCTGGTTACTGTATAATAAGAGCATAATAAGACCATTTTGATAATAACTAGGTGGCTTGTTTCTCATGTCTGACATAATTAACTAATGTTGGTTAATTATGTGGATATCTAGAGGTTAGAGGTGTTAAAAAAACACCAAAACCTCCCCAAAGAGTAGAATGTTTTTCATTATTTAAAGTAACTAATTTCAGAAGACAGCAAGTGGCATGCATTTTTTTTTAATTGCAGTAAACAATTTTATTCAATAAAAAACGATAGGAATTTGCAGGTCTGAAGGACTCCCTGGGCTTACGTGGAAATCCTGGTAAGATGAATAAATACAGAAAGAATCAATAGTTGGAACATGTAGAATACAGGAGTGACTGAGATGAGACTAAGGGAGGGGCATGGCCGGCGGTATGCATTTTTAAAGAAATATTTTATGTTTAAGTGTGTGTGTGTGTGTGTGTGTGTGTGTACACAAGTGAGTAGAAGGTGCTGGCAGAGTTCAAAGAAGGTGTTAGATGCCCCAGAGCTGGAGTTGCAGGTGGTTATGAGCCACCTGACATATGTACTGGGAACCAAATTCCTGGTCCTCTGCAAGAGCTGCATGCATTCTTAACTGCTGTGCCATCTCTCCGGCCGTATGGCCTGTATTTTTACTCAGACAATTCCTCCTTGAATCCCAGAGTTTTACAAACCAGCTTCCTGTCTATAAGATGTTCACGCCTACCTCACCCGAAAGCTGTGAGGTTTGGAATCTGCAGATACATACAAATCTTGTGTGCTGCACCTCACACAAGACAGAAACTCCGGAAGGACAGAAGCTCCTAAGAGTTGTTTTTTGCCACGTCACTATGATTTTGTTCTTTCCTCCGTCATCACAAATTTTCCTTTAACCTGTACAGAGTTCCTAGTTGGTGTTCACATGTTCCTACCTTCCTTAAAAGTGGTGTTAATTCATTGTACAGTATATTCCTTTTTAAAAAAATCTTTTTTATTATTTTTATTTTATGTGTATGAGTATTTTGTCTAAATGTGTGTAAGTGCACCATGTGAGTGCAATGCCAATAGAGGTCAGAAGAGGGCATCAGATCCCCTGGAACCAGAGTTACAGATGGCTGCTAGCAGCCATGTGGGTGCTGGGAACCAAACCTGGATCCTCTGCAAGAGCAGCTAGTGCTTTTAATGGTCAAGCTATCTTTCCAGCTCCCATTATATGGTATTTCCCATTCTCACTGATAACATTGATATTCTAGTGAGACCTGGATTTAATAATGTCTGGTGTCATAAAACGTGAGCAGAGGGCTAGAGAGGTAGTTCAGGGGATAAGAGCACTTGCTGTTCTTCCAGAAGACCTGAGCTCAACTTCCAGCACCCACATGGTGGCCCTGTTGTCCTCTTCTGGCATTCACAGACACTACACACACACCAATAAATATACCAGCAATCAAAACACTTGTACAAATAAAAATAAACCATTAAAAAAAAAGTTTGTGAGCAGAGACAGAAACAACAAAAATACAGACCATGGTTTTTCTTGGCATTTCCCATCTGTGGGACAGATTCTGCCATTTGTACTCGGTTAGGTGACTTCTGACTTCTATCTACCTATGTCACCGGGGGCTGTTCACTGCTCAGGCGCTCAGGGGACACCTGTCTTTATGGAATGACCTCTAGAACACTGCTGGATGACCTTTTCCTCCAACAGAAGCAGTGTTCTTTGGTATAGGAGTCTCTGAGAGTCACCTTTATTAACTGGAGGAAGCCCAAGTAATGAGACGGCCAGGCTTGGACAGTGAGACGGTCCTGGCAGTGGAGATGTGTCATGGTGGGCTTGCCCTCATGACCACATGAGAGCCTTAGGGATACACAAATATCTGAAGATCTTTTCACTTACAAATGGAGAGTGCAGGAGCAGTGGTAGAAAGATTCTGTTGCACTCACCTGCCCAGGCTGCTCACAGGCTGTCTGGTACCTGGCCTGCTGGCACAGTTCCTTTACCCTCTCATATTTGGGCAAGTGATTTGACTGTTGGATATTCTTGCTGGATTCTTCCTTCTTTCGTAGAAATTTCCTTTGACAGAAAGGGAAAGGCGTCTTACAAGAGTAATCTGACCACCTTCTCCAGTCATGGCCCATTGTTTCTCTTCCCTGTTACACAATTCTACGTTCCTTCAAACAAGACATAGATGTTGTAGTTCTGCCTATAGGAGCCCAACACTGAATCCTTTGTGAGGTTTTTTT